CATAGCAAGTGCTTTATACATTATTTTTTATTTAAAGGTTATTTCAAATTTTAAGAAAACTTTTTACCTGGATGGTGATTTAGAGAAGGTACAAAGAATTTTCTCTTGGCTACAGTGAGCAATCCGACGCAAATTTTCATCCAGTGAGTGAAACTCAAGGCTTGTCTTGAGGGCTGATTCTCAACTGAATGAAATTAGCCCTGGAAAGTGTGGGCAAAGCCGCTGGAGCAAGGGTCCGACGATGAGACCAGTCTCTGTGCTCTTTGTCACGGCTGAGTATGACATGAGACCTTGCAGCTGCCCAGTCCATCACCCCCTGCTGAGCCCCCCTACCATCCTCAACACCCCGTCGGTCACTCAAACTACACTGTCAGCCAAACCCTTGACCCCACCCCCCAACACACTGGACTTCACCTCGTACCCACTTAACCAGCTCCCAAACTGAGTCCAAGCCAACATCTTTGCTCCTGCCATCCGGTGGCAACCTGGCATCAAAGCGGCCTAATATGCCTCCTCCTCACCCTAAGTCACTCCATTACAGATTCTCACAGAAAAGAAACAGAGGCAAGTTGTTGCTGGTTCCGACCCCTGGCAACCCCAGTCAGAGTAGAACTGCGCTCCATAGGGTTTTCAATGGCCATGATCTTTCAGAAGTAGATCACCAGGCTTTCTTCTGAGGTGCCTCCGGGTGGATTCAAACCACCAACCTTTCGGTCAGTAGCTAAGCACTCAACCTTCTGCGCTGCCCAGGGACTATGATTCTAATAGAAGCAGCATTAAACCTTTATTTCACTCAAGCTCCCAAATCTACTCCTGTCCCCACCCGCAGACAGCCTATTGTTGTTGGGTGCTGCCAAGCTGGACCCACAGCAACCCCACGTGACAGGGTAGAACTGCCCCACAGGGTTTCCTAGGCTATGATCTTTATGGGAGCAGATCGCCAGGCCTTTCTCCGTGGTAGCCTCTGGGCGGCTTGGAACCGCCACCTTTTTGGTTAGCAGCCAAGCGTTTAACCATTATTGCACCCCCAGGGCTCCTTTCAAACAGCCCAGACTCCTCAGCAAAAAAGCAGACCCTCAACGGGATGGACTGCCACAGCGGCTGCAACAATGGGTTTGAGCATAACGACTGTGAGGATGGCGCAGGACAGGGCAGTGTTTCGTTCTGTTGTACACAGGGTTGCTGTGAGTCGGAACCGACTCGACGGCACCCAACAACAACAACAAAGACCCCTCAATAACTGGAAGACAGAAGCAATCAGATACAAATTCTTTCCATTTTCTGTATACCTCACACCCCTACAGCCTTGCAGCGGTAAAAGAGTTCAGCATTTACTGGGATCATTACCTAGCTGTTCTCTTCTCCTTCCTGTTTCCGAAGGGGGACAAATGCGTCCTCCTTTCCAAGGCCGAGTCTTTCTTCTATTCCCTGATCTTACCCTGTAAATGTGGCTCACACTTGCCTTCGGTTTGTTGTTCCGTCGTTTAATCCCCCTTCTCCCACCTCTCTCGGATCTTCCAACTTCTCTACTAACCTAGAAACAAGCTTACACGAAAAGAATCTTCTCAGTGCTGTTTCCCTCGTAAGCCTTGACCCTTCCCCCATTTTACTGCCTCACGCCTCCAGGGAAGTCTCTCTGCGGTAGGTGTACCACTGGCTGAGCTCAAGAAGGGGGACTGCCGGCCGGCATCTGATACACGTGCCTCTGGATTGCAATCCGTCTTTCAAGTCAGCTTAAAGGCTCCGACATCCAGCACTTCCTATTTGTGGTCACTTATTGTCTTCTCCCCATTTACATTGTGATTTTAACAAACATAATAAAGGAAAATACACCAAAGAGGTTTATGATATACAACAAACTGTGATTCAACTAAATGCTCATCTCTCCTTTGGGACCTCTGGCACGAAGCTGATAGATTAGCAACACTGATACCTGAAAACATGGGTTTTGAAGGATATGTCTTACACGAGGTAGGACCTTACATTCTACAGAGTACTGATTATAGCTATGAACGATAAAAAATATGATCATGTAAATTGTCCATATATAAAGTGCAGAGTCTTATCTGACGTAAAAGTTACCACCTATATAGAAAAATAAGCTTATAGAAACGAAGGCTGCGCTATGCCTTCAGGGAAGAGGACCAGGAAGAGGAGACAACACGACCTACTTAAGGAGAAGCAAGCAAGCCAGTGAGGAAGGAGCACAGGAAATCGGGAGAGGCAAGGGCCAGACCCACAGGGCCTCCTAGGCAGAAACTAACCCACTTCTGTGCGCCACAAGACCAACCGGAAGCAGCTGAAGAGCTTTAAGCCAAGAGCCGGAAGGATGAGATCTGCCATTTTAAGACCCCTCTAGTTGTCGTATGGAGAATGAGTGTGACGGGGACAGGTGGGAGTCAGGAGGTGCTTCAGGAGCCTCTGAGGGAATGATGGTAGCCTGCGCCAGGGTGGCAGCAGAGACAGAAGGAAGAAGGTAGGTTCTAGAAGAGACAATCGGTAAGACTTGGTGATGGGTTAGATGTGGGGGAAGAAAGGAAGAAAGGTGTCAAGAATGACACGCTGGTTTCCTGCAGTGACCCTACAGGACAGGGTGGGACCGCCCCACAGGGTTTCCAAGGCTGTCATCTTCACAGAAGCAGACTGCCACAGCTTTCTCCCACGGAGCAGCTGGTGGGTTCGAACCACTGACCTTTCTGTTACCAGCCGAGTGCTTAATCACTGCGCCACCAGGGCTATGACACACGGAAATGCAGAGCAGCCCACCTGGTACACCAAATTGTTAACAGAGGTTACCTCTGGGAAGGGAAGGTGAATCTTAGAGGTTACCTACGGGCTAAGATGAATGTCACATAGTAAAAGGCAGACTTTCATATTTTACTATATAGACATCTGCGCTGTTTAAATATTTTATCATCAGCAGGTACACATTACTTTCATACTCAAACCCACATGCAATAGCGACAACGCATTTACCTGGCTGAGAAGGACGGGAATGGCATTTTAGGGGGAAGGAACAGCCTGTCCAAAGGTTCAGCCACATCCAAGTACAAGGGCGTATTTAAGAGGATCAAGCAGTCTGCCCTTTGCAGAGAAGAAGGGAGGATGTGTTGTGGGGAGGGGAGTAGCAGTGGATTAAGCCTGTTTATAGTAGAGTCAGACCCGGAAGGACCAAGCTTTCAAGCAGGAGAGGAGAGAAATCAAGTTTTTATCCCAGTCTAGAGGCGGTGTGAAGATTAACCAGAGAGAGGCAGAAGACAGGCTGGGAGATCACCGCAGCCACTGCTGCCAGGACACAGCCGCATCAGGCGCGACAGGGGGTGCGACGTAAGAGTCATCTTAGAAGGACAGTTGAGGGGCTTGGTGATGAAGCTGGAGCGGCAGGTGGCGGAAGGGCAAGAGCAAAGATGTGGCCTTGGTTTCTAGTCCAGGAAACTGGAGGTGGTGGTGACAACTCAGGTCCGTGCAGAAGGCGGCCAGGTGGGAGGACAATCAATTCAGAACATGCTGAGGCTGAAGTGCCTCTGGGAGCCGGTCAGCAGGTCGGGGTGCCCGGCAGGAAGGTGGATGTGCCGGTTTAAAGGTGAGGAACCAGGTCAGGACCAGAGCTCGTGAATGTTCTTATCCAGAATAAAAAAGTTAAGCCTGTGGACACAGTCTTACCCTCGGTGAAATTTCAGAGTCCTTGAGGCAACTATCAAAGAGTTGACCAGTTCCTTTTATTCTCAGAGTTGTAAAAATTCCACATTAATTGTTAAAAGTCTCTGTAGGCAATGACCTAAAAAAATAAGTTGGAGTTTCTGTCTTGGTCTCTCTGTGAGCCTTTTGTTCCCACCCCCTTCCCCTTTCGTCTGCCATTCTATCTACCCATCTAATCAATGTGTAATATAAAACATCTGTTATTCTTATTAACTATCTTGATATTCTGTTTTCATTGGAAAAAAGCAAAGAGAAGCACATTCCACAGCTCTACCTTTAACAAAGCCTAAATTCCACAATGATTTAGCTAAGTGGCTCTCCACCGAGTTTTCTCTCGCAAAGTCCTTGACCCTTAATCAACCGGCATCCTCAAGGTGGTCAACTCCAGCTGCTGCAGCTTTAACCAGGGCTCCAGAAACAAATCCACCGTGCTGCTGCCCCGTCAGAAGTCTAAGCCACACTGGACATGTGTCTGACCAATGGTGCCCTAGTTGGGCGGGAGGTGGAGAGGAAGGACCCGTTGGCAAGGAAACAGCTGCTTCCTTCCTGAGCAAGGGAAAACGAGGAAGGTAACAGACTGGCAGAGCAGAAAGGCAGCCAGAAGTTGCTCTGGCTCCTTCTTGGCAGGGATTTTGAGAAGTGAGGCACGCCTGGATGTTTTAAAGTAGATCAACGACTGAGAGAACTGTCTGCCTGGGTGCACTGCTGAAGCTCCATGGGGCTTCCCACACATTGTCTACTTTTGACAAACGTTTACGTTTGCAGCGGATCAAAGAACCTAAGACGGCAAGGCACTGGCCGATCTCATTTTAGGATTATACCCAAGAGGGTGCACTTTCCGGTACAAAAAAGAGAAAATGTCATTTTCTGGCCAGTAGTGATATCTGCAGAACTTACGAGAATTACTGTTAAAATCTCATTAGAAAACGCTTCTTCTTAAATACGTTTACTTTTATATATTTAATTCTAAAAGACTCGTTGCAAACTTTTATACTCTGTTCTTTTATTACCTCCCTCCCATCCACTTCTGTACCCAGGAAATTAAATATCCAAGGATTCCTGGGCATAACAGACAACCACTGCATTGATATGCTCTAACTAGCGTATTTTTTAAAAAAAACTTAATATAGGTAAGTTATTGTTCTTTATCAAGTGGAAATCAGCAATCACTGAAAATACCATTAAAAATTCATGTGGGCATGAAATTCGGAATTTTAAAACATCAGTTTACTATGCTGATTAATTCAACACTTACAATTTCATCAGAACTTAATAATCCAATAAATAAATAGAGCTCTCAATTATTTAAAAAAATCAAGAGATAACATATGTATTTAGACATATTAGCAGCGTAAAGATGTATGCTTCCACACACTTATTGGGAAAACGTCTGAAAATATTACTACACTGAATTCAAGGGCTTCTGCAGGGACTGCACAGAGAAGTTCTCTAGAATAACAACATTTCAGGAAATTCCAAAAAAGGAAAAGGGTCAAATAGGAAATAGCCTCAAATTAATCAACAAAGTTCAGTGCTTGCTCCAACTTGATTTTTTTTTTTTCCCCCGCTCCCCATTGCAAAAAAAAAAACAAAGTCTCGGGGCGGGTGCATCACTTGGATGAAAGTTCATCTACGGGGATAAATGGAGAGGCCGCTTGGGCAGGCGACAAAGGAGAGTCGGTGGTCGTGCTGACCTTCGCTGGCGAGTTACAGGAAGAGCCGGCACTGCTGCTGTTTCCATCCAGCGTATCCGAAGATACACACACGCTGGCATCTGACAGCTGTGCGGCGTCAGACGACAGCATATTGGTGATGCCCTGGAAAAATCTCTTTGGCTGATACTCAGTTTCCATCTCACATTTTCTTTTTAATGGTCCAAGAACACTTGGCCTAATGCAGTTGATGGGGCTCTGGCTCCTCCGGGTCGTAAATCGGGTCGTCGGGCTGGGAATAGGGCTGGGAGGCAATCCATTGCTACTCACAAAACTTTGCAAGGACGGTGAAAAACACTGCTTCCCGATGCCCCGCGTGGGCGACGGCGCCGGTGACACCGGGATGAAGTCGATGCGCTTCGGGGAGGCGGACTTCTCCACGTCGTTGTCACTCAGGCTGAAACTTTCCTCCCAGGAGTGGCTTATCTGCATTGCGGTCTGCACCTCGCGCTCGTGCACCGTCTCGCGGTTGATGAGGTCCATGCCCTCCTCCTGCTTGATCTGGTGCAGGCGGCTGCTGTGCATGCGGACGGGCGAGGCGGGCAGCAGCAGGCCGTGGCGGCTCGGGAACGTCGTGCTGTTCCGCCTGGCGCTCGGCGCCTCGGCCTGGAACACCGGCGAGGTGTCACTGAGGCCGTGGATCAGGGGGGCGCTGTTAGACCTCCGCAGGACCCCGCCGCCGCCCTCCGCCGGGCTCCCGCCTGCACCCGGAGGCAGCTCCAGGTCCAGCTCCATCTTCTCCTGAGCCATGTCGGGGGAAGGGAGGCGGGGGCGGTGCTCAGTCAAGGCCCTAGGACACCCATTCCCCGCAGCGCAGGGCCGCCGCCGCCGCCACCGAGAATGTCAGCGGGCTCGCCCCTCTGCGCATGCGTGCCCCTCCGCGCAGGCGCCCTGCGACGTCTGCCCCGGCGGCGCCGGCTTAGTGCGTAATCGCGGCGCCGCAGGCCCAGGACGAAGGGGGAGGGGAGGAGCGGGAAAGCCGTCCGCGCCTTCCTTCCGCAAACAGCTACGGAGCGCGAGATCCCATTAACCTACGTTAATAAAGCAATCACATTCGTTTAAGGATATACTTAAAAAGCAAGGGCTCTGAAGGAGTCGACTTTGGTGGCGTGGGGGTGTATGAGTGGGGCTGGGGTTTGATCTAATCATGGAGGGCTTCCCCGAGGAAGGGGCAATCACCCGAGATCTTCCCGAAGAAGTAGGCGAAATGGGTGCGAGGTGGAACCTTCTAGGAAGCGCGAAGTCAGGGCAAGGAGCCAGGTGGCAGGCGGGAAGCAGGCGGAGGGGGAGTGAGGGCTGGCAGATGGAGGTGGTGGACCACAGCAGATCTGGGCTTTATCCTGAGAACAATGAAAACTGTAAAGGTTTTCAAGCGCCGGTATAAGAGCGACTGGCAAGCTGACTGGCTGCCGTGTGGAAAACAGATTATTGGAAGATTAGACCCAACAGGAAATAGACCAGAAAGGAGGCGATGGATTTTAGTGGAGGCAGAAACGACTGGCCGGCACACAGTAACAACAGCGTGGGAGCCGCAGAGAACCTGAGAACTGTTTAGGAGGTTAGGAAAAACCACACCTGAGTGTATTGTTTTCCTCACAGCCGTATGTCCAGCACAAGCTGATGAGTTCCTGTGCGATGGTGAAGCCCCTCCGCTGCCAGCTGCTAAGACAGAGGTCTTGGTTCCAACTCACCAGTGGCTCCCCGGAAGAAAAGACCTGGCCATCTGCTCCCATATACATTAACTTCTTGACTGCATCAATTCTGACTCACAGTCACCCTATAGGACAAAGTAGAACTGCCCCGTAGGGTTTTCAAGACTAATCTTTATGGAAGCAGGCTGCCACATCTGTCTTCCCAAGAGCTGCTGGTGGATTCAACAGCCAACCTTTCTGTTAGGAGCCTAGCGCTTAACCACTGCACCACCGGGGCTCCTTGCTACTCTGTCCTGTAAGGTCACTATGAGTCCGGATGGACTCCCGGGCATACAACAAGAACAAATACTCAGAATGAGGGCTTAAATGAAGGGGAAACCAAAAAATCCATTCAGTTCTGAAACAAAAATACAGCACTTGGCTCATGTAATCACTATCAGCTTTGAGCTCATTCACCTCGGTTTATGTTGATTCAGTCAGTCATGTTGTTTCTGCATGGTTACTATGTGCTGGGTTCTGCTCTAGGAAACGGGGCTTATGATGAGGGCATTTACCTTCTATAGGAGGAAGAGAGGTAATAAATAAATAGGATATTTGCAGATAATGATAAGTGCCAAGCAAAATAAAATAGGGTGGTGCGATATAGCCCTACTGACCGAAGGAGGGGACAATTAGATACAGCTGAGATCTCTATGACAAGAAGCAGCAAGCCACGTGGCCATCTGGAGGCTGAGTGTTCCAAGCAGAGAGAATGGCAAGTTCTAAGACCCCAAGAAGGAGCCCTGGTGGTGCAATGCTTAAGTGCTTGGCTGCAAACCGAAAGGCTGGTGGTTCAAACCCACCCAGTGGCTCGGCGGGAGAAAGACATGGCGATCTGCTTCCGTAAAGTTAAAACAAAACTAAAAATCATTGCCATCCAGTCGATTCTGACTCACAGTGATCCTATAGGACAGACTGGAACTGCCACATAGGGTTTCTAAGGCTGTAATCTTTATGGGAGCAAATTGCCAGGTCTTTTCACTCACGGAGCCGCTGATGGGTTTAGACTGCTGACCTTTCTGTTAGCAGTCAAGTCCTTGCCTACTACGCTGCCAGGGATCCTTTCCGTAAAGATTACAGCCTAGGAAACCCTATGGGGCAGTTCTACTTTGTCATATGGGGTCGCCATGAGTCAAAATCAACTCGACAGCACCCAACAACGAGGCCCAAAGGCAGACATGGGTTTTGGTGAGTTATCAGGAAAAGGAAAAAGGGCAGAGTGCTGCCGGAGCGTAAGGCGAGAGTGGGGTGCAAGGGCCGAGTTAGGAGTTCATTCCAGATGGGACACGGAGCCACTGGAGAGTTCTAAGCAGGCAGTAACATTATCTGATCTGTGTTTTAAAAAATCACTTTGACTCTGTGGAAAATAGACAGACTGAAAGGGCAAAAGTGGAAGCAGAAAGAGGAGTTAGGAGCTTGTGGCAACTGCACAGACACGAGATTACGAGACTAGGGCCGTATCAGTGACCACAGGGAGAAACAGATGGATTCAGGATACGTTTTAGAAGTAGAACCAACAGGGCGTGCAGGTGGGTGAGACTTAGATGGTGAGAGAAATAGCTAATCCAGAGATAACTCATAAGGGTTTTACTGAAACTGGGAAGATGGTGATGCCATCTATAGAGGTGGGGAGAGCAGGGGAAGGAGCATGTTTCTTGCTGTTTGATGCCATCAAGTCGATTTGGACTCATGGCGACCCCACGCGTGCAGAGTAGAACTGTGCTCCCTAGGGTGTTCAAGGCTATGACCTTTGGGAAGCAGATCACCAGGCCTTTCTTCTGAGGCACCTCTGGGTGGGTTGAACCGGCAACCTTTCAGCTAGTCGTCGAGCGCTTAACCATTTGCACCACCCAGGGACTCCGGGGAATCCAGCAGCTCTTCATGACAGATGGGCGTAGTTCTAAAATCCCTTTCCTGGGCCCCTCCAGGTGGCAGCCCAGCCCAGCACCAACCGCCGTCAAGTTGACGCTGATGCACGGGGACCCCATATGTGCAGAGAGCAACTGCTCCACAGGGTTTTCAAGGCTGTGACCTTTCAGAAGCAGATCCCCAGGCATGTCTCCTGAAGCATCTCTGGGTGGGTTCGAACAGCTAACCATTCACCTCGTAGTCCAGCGCTTAGGAGTAAAAACCAGGAGTTCTGTTTGGCTGTGTTGAGTTGAAGTGGCTTTTAAATATCCATATGGCTACTTGAACTGAAACAGAGCTTCGAGACTTTGGTCCGGCCCTCACAGTTTTTGCAGCTGAAGGAAGTAAGATGCAGAGAAGCAAAATGACATATTCAACATCACACAACTGGTTTAGCAGTGGGGACCAGTACCAGAATCCAGGTCTCTTGGTTCCTAGTCCACATTTCTTTTTGCTGTGTCTCAAACAGCTTTTAATTTGACGTCCCTGATGGTAAAAAAAAAAAAAAAAAAAAAATGGAGCCCTGGTGGCACAGTGGTTGGCTGCTAATCAAAAGGTCGGCTGTTCAAATCTACCAGCCACGCCTTGGAAACCCTATGGGGCAGTTCTACTCTGTCCTATAGGGTCACTATGAGTTGGAATCCACTCGATGGCAATGAGTTTGGTCTTTGGTTTTGATAGAAAATAATGTCAGTTATTCACGCCTACAATTATGGAAACTGATTTACGCTTTTCAAGTGCCAGGCACTACCATTCAAAGTGCTTCACGTGCAGTATCTCATTTAATCCTCCCAAAGACCCTACGAGGTAGGTATTATCATTACCCCCATTTTACGGGGAAAGCTGAGACACAGAGGTTAAGCAGTGTTCCCAGGATGACAGTAAGTGGCAGAGAACCTGGGCTCTCTGGGTGCAATGCTACCTCCTTCAAATACAGTGACCTTGCAGGCCGGGGAGAAATCACTTCCAGATTGCTAACAGCTTCGTGAAGGCAATGGTACTTGAGAGGGGCTTTGAAGTGCGTAGACGACATTTTATATAGCATTGGCAGCATAGGTACAAAAGAGTGAATTTGGCTGTCTTAGCCATCTAATGCTGCTATAACAGAAACACCACAAGTGGATGGCTTTAACAAAGAGAAATTTATTCCCTCACAGTCTAGGAGGTTAGAAGTCTGAATTCAGTGTGCCAGCTCCGGGGGAAGACTTTCTCTCTCTGTCGACTCTGGGGGAAGGTCTTTGTCATCCATCTTCCCTTGGTCGAGGAGCTTCTCAGCACAGGGATCCCGGGTCAAAAGGATGAGCTACGCTTGGTAGTATGAGGTCTCCCTTCTCACCTCTCTCTTTTATATCTCAAAAGAAACTGGCTTAAGACACAACCTAATCTGTAGATTGAGTCCTGCCTCATCAACATAACTGCCGCCTATCCCACCTCATTAACATCATAGAGATAGGATTTACAACACACAGGAAAATCACATCAGATGACAAAATGGAGGACAATCACACAATACTGGGAATCATGCCCTAGCCAAGCTGACACATATTTTTTGGGGACATAATTCAATCCACGACACTGGCTAACACATCAAGTACGCGGAGAAGGACAAGTAATGAGGAAAAGGTGGAGATGGACATTGGAGGCAGGGAATGGAGCATTGAACGCCAGGCAAAGTGCCTGTATTTAGTTTGCAAAGCAATAGGGAGCCACTGCAGGTTTCTGACAAGAGGAAGGGCCATGATGAGAGCTGGGCTTTAAGACGTGGCAGGTGGATCAAGGATGCAGTAACGTGGAAGAACAGAAAGGAGAAACGACCGACGTTTTCTAAGTGCCTCCTACCTGCCATGCACTGGAAACAATTCCTCCAGTTGCCGTCTAGTCGACTCTGACTCATGGCGACCCCGTGGGTGTCAGAGTCAAACTGTGCTCCATAGCGTTTTCAATGGCTGATTTTTTCGGGAGCAGATCACCAGGCCTTTCTGCTGAGGTACATCTGGGTGGACTGGAACTGCCAACCTTTCAGTTCACAGCTGAGAACATTAACTGTTCGCACTTCACAGGAACTCCAACAATTCACAGTCCTACTTAATCCTCATGGCAATCCTGTGAATTCGGTATTTTGATGCTCATTTTATAGAGAGAAAATTGAAGTTCAAAAACTGCAAAGGGTCCCACCGCTAGTACGTGGAAGAACAAAGATCTGAACCAATCTGAATGGAGGTCTTACTTCAAAATCGATAGTCTTTT